ACCATGATAATACCAAGCTGAAAATAAAAGTGAAGCACTATTTCACAATAAATCAACAAATATCAACTAGAGTATTCTTATGTGAAAATAAACATATACCTCGCACAGTAAATATGTGTCATACAATAAAAAATAACAATCCATGCTTGTGATATGTTCAACATCAATGTGTTGTCATCTTTTCTTCAGAGTTGCCATTTTGATGTAAAAATGTAAAGGTACATTGTTAGTCCACCAAATGAGCTTAATGATTCCCAAGTCAGACCTCAAGAACGACTGGCAAGAAAGCTGATGGTCTGCATGGAACCAGGTAATGGTGTTTTACAGCTTGCTGTTATTAATACAGCTGATATGAGACAAAAGATATTGAACTTAGAGCAAATATTGTATTATGATCTGGTTAGCAGTCCTACATTTCAAAAGCTAGGTAGGCAGAAGATATGTTAGCAATTTGTGTCTCAGGGCAGTACAGATGTGTAAAAGGTGTGCATTAGGGTATGGGAGTGTCTTATAACTTAACAGGAATGTTGGCAAATTGTCATGTAATACATTCTTTCTTTGAAGAGTCACTTGCACTTTCTGCAAATTCTATCTGTATAGACATCATGTTCCTACTTCAAAATGTGAAGTTTACATAGATGTTTGCCCTTATGTGCTGACATATCGTATTCTACCTAAATGTGGTGTTCTTGTGTTTGCCAGTACTTTTTCTCAGTACTTGCACTTTAGTATACATCACTCTTAGGCCCCGTTCACATTGAGCGATTTATCGCGCGATTTTTGTAGCGATATCGCTCATATTTCCGCACTATATCGCTCTATGTAGCTTCACCAATACAATTCAATGTAGCTGTTCACATCTCGTCGCTCAATGTCGCTCAATATCGCTCAATATCGCTTGTAGCTCGTCGCTGGTAGCTTGTCGCTTCTACATGACCCTTTTTTAGAGCGATTTTGAGCGATATTGCTCCTGATTGCATACAGCCCAATAGGAAGATGTCGAGCGATGTCGCGCGACACGTCGCTCAACGTCGCTCAATGTCGCTCGTCGCTCAATGTCGCTCAAAGTCGCGCGATTTGCATGTCGCTCAGTGTGAATGGGGTCTTAGTGTTATTTATAGTTTGTTTTTAGTTACTTTTATGTCATAAGGATTATTTCCAAATGTTGAGTGTGACTCAATAGGTCAGTGGGTGTGGCTTAAACGTAAGTAGAGGAACATCATTTCACAGGAGGTGCAGACAGTTCACAAAGTGCTAGAGTCTCTAAGGCCCCATTCACACTGAGCGATTTATCGAGCGATTTTTGCAGCGATATTGCTCATATTTCCACGCGATATCGCTCTATGTAGCTTCTCCAATCCATTTCAATGGAGCTGTTCACATCTCGTCGCTCAATATCGCTTGTAGCTCGTCGCTGGTAGCTTGTCGCTCCTACATGACCCTTTTTTTGAGCAATTTCGAGCGATATTGCTCCTGATTGCATACATCCCAATAGGAAAAAGTCGCGTGATGCCGCGCGACACGTCGCTCAATATCGCTCAATATCGCTCGTCGCGCAATATCGCTCAAAATCACGCGATTTTCATGTCGCTCAGTGTGAATGGGGCCTAAAGGGGAGTAGAACATGTGATAGAAGGGATCAGGAGGCCAGTAAACTAATTCAGTTTCTACTACTATGTTAGACCATGCGGGACCTTGTGGTTTTACAAAGCTCAAGAGAGAAGCAGTGCAATCAGGAAATCTGCTTTGTAGACTTACAGGGTTATTCGCAAAAGGGTGAAGAGTTTGGAGAAGGCAGGTTAGTTTGCCAGTTAGTTTTTATTCTCATTGTTATTTAGTAACATATTATGCAACACTTTGCAGAGTATAAACAACTATTTATATTTGCTCCTTCTACTAAGGAGCTTTCCATTGAAATCTCAGTCACAGTCATATAGAAACATACCTACAAGTGCCAATTTTCTTGCTTTTGTTTTTTGTCTAGGAGACGTACAATGGAGTGTCCTTCATAAACCTATGTAACAAATGGAAAAGACATATAAACCCACTGCTGCAAGAGCTAAGCCTGTCATTTACTTGGATGGGGAACTCCAGTCCAAGTACCCCCTGGGTAGGTGGAAAGGGAGCGCAGGGACTAGCACTCAAGAGCACTGTCAACAGGCAACTAGAAGTACAGGAGATGAGGGTCTTCAATAAGAAGAGATCAGGAACAGACCAGGGTCAGCAGCAGCTGGACAAGATGGTACCAATTTGGCAGACTTAAGGTGCCCATACACCTTGCAAATATTGTACGATAATCGCGGGAAATCCCGCAATCGTACCATAATCGCAAGGTGTATGGAAGGCGTGCGACCGATTTTACTGTACGGTCGCACGTCTTTTGTCGAACCAGCATGCTAGAAAACCCCTCGTTCGAAAACTGCGGAACGGGCCGGTGTGCGCACGCGTACACTGCCTATTCAGCATTGCGGTCATCGGAAGCCCGCCCCTCAGCGGGGCGGGCTTCCGATGATCGCAAGTACGATCTGCCTGTCCAAGATGGGCAGATCGCACAAGCTTTTAATTAGCCTACGACCATGGTTGGTTGTAAGGTGTATGGGCACCTTTAGACAGAGATGCAGACCGGTTGGGTCAGCAACTTTTAGGCAGTGAGGTACCAGAGCGGCAGGCAGGAATCGTAGTCAGAGAACAAGTGGGGATCAGTACAGGAGCAGATTAGCAGATAGGGAAGGACCACAACTCCGTCAGGAAACAAGCCAGGTCAGTAACAAGAATCATGATTGGATAACAAATTGCTGGTCGCAGGGGTACAGCTGAAGATCTCTCAGAACTGGCGTGAACTGCCAGTTAGGACAAAGACCTGCAGAACTTGCAGGTCTTTGTCCTAACCAGTTTTTTCTGGAATCTGTCTATGCAGGCTGCTGAGTCTTCCTAAGAAAGCCATTTGCAATATTGCTGCCCCATGGTGGATGAGTGGTTAGCACCCATGTACTAAGCAGAATTTGCATTGTGGGTAGAGCTTTTGGAAGACTTTGACTGTTATTGTTAGCCTCTATGCTTGGAAACCACTTGAGCACACACGAGTGCTTGTATAAACAATACGATTATATGTAAAATCCCCGTTTAGCACTATGATATGCATGCTGAATGTACAGTAATGGAGATGTGGGATGTTGTGATCAATATAGCCATGACATCTTTCGCCACCATGTGGGATACATGCAAAGGTAAAAATGATCATAGCAATCAACAAGCACACGCTTCCTCTTTTTAGTTATTCCAGCATTTAACTTATACAGGCAGTCCCCGGGTTACATACAAGATAGGGACTGTAGGTTTGTACTTAAGTTGAATTTGTATGTAAGTCAGACAGGTACATTTTTTAAGTGTAACTGCAGTCAAAAAAAACATTTTTTAGTTTTGGATAGCATAGGGAAGGGTCACGTTTGTTTTGCCGTCTGTTCCTGTTGTTTTTGAGGTAAAACATTTTTTATTTAAAATGACACACCAAAAAAAAGTTTTTCTTATATTTTTAATTTTTTTATAAACTTTAATTTTATTTTTTGTTTGCATTTTTTTGTATTTTTAATTTTATTTTTTTAAACGTTTTAAATAGTTTTTTTCTATTTAAATGCTGGGAGCAATAGCCAGCCTGCTATTGGCTATTTCAAATTGCAATAGCCAATAGCAGGCTGGCTATTTATCCGACGAATCGACGATCGAAAACGTTGCCAACGTTTTCAATCGTCGATTTTCATCGACTAAATAGATTAACTGTTGCAGCTCTACCGGGGACTGCCTGTAGTAATTTTGATATGACTTTTACATTTTACAAGCTTGGTCCATGTTTTTTTTCTTGAATTAAATCCAGACATTTGACATTAGCCTTCATTGTGGCTCAGTGCAGTTACTCTGCCTCTCATCAGCTGTTCAAGTGACACTTAACTCAGGCGTTTAATCTTAAAAATGCATTCAAGTACCTGGACTATTAACAAAACTGTATCTTATTTGTGTATCACTCACTTGTAGATCCTCCAATCATCTCTGAATTGGCACTGACACTGTCCTTCCTTCTGGTGGGTGGCTACTTTTGTTCCCCATGGTCTTTGTGTGTATTGTAAAGTAGCCACTGCTCCAGGCTTACTCCTGTGATGGACCACATTCTCAATACAAACTAGTAGACTAAACATGAGCTTGTAGTCCATCACAGGAGCAAGCTTGGAGTGGTAGCTACTTTACAACACACACAGGTGCCATGGGGAACAAAAGTAGCCAATCAGCCACCCTGATTTATCTACAGCTGAGTGATACACAAAATGACATATTTGTTAATAGTTCAGGTACTTGAATGCATTTTTAAGATTTAACTCCTGAGTTTAGTGTCACTTTAATATAAGATATGGGGTGTGCATTGTGAATCATCTACTTGCATTATGGGCAGAATCCGTGCACATACTTAATTGCAAAATACACATAGAAACAAGGTCTATACATTGGCTTTAAAAATGATGGTTCATGTGGAGCTGATTCTGTTGTAACATACTGTGCTGAACGTGAGGTAGTAGTATAACAGGGTTTGTACCCTCTTGGTTTTTGTAGTTTATGATTAACAGCAGGTCTGGTTCCATGGCTGTTCTGTAAGATGTTGAAAGTCATAATCATTAAAGTGTATGTACTATGTATAGCCAAAACTTTTTTTTTGTGGATAGAATAGGGATGGGTTAAAAACCATATCAGTTTATTTTAATTGTTTTTGCTGTGTCATTATGCCATTAAAATTCAGTTAATCCAATAGCAATCTGTCAGACTGTGATGGATATTTTTCTAGATTAAGTTTAAAAACAAAAGCAACCTTTTAGGAAAATTCTTGACAGTTCACTTCTTATAATTGATATATGTCAACCTTTGAAGAGTTTTCATGGCAGACAATTACAGTTCTTCTAGCTTTATCTCTTATACATAAACAACAGACCTATTTTACCAGTTTCATATTTCTTCAGGCCTCCGTCACAATTCAGGTGATGAGTTCTTCCGGAGACGAGCCCCGTCCATCTTATTCCAATACCAGAGAGAGGATTGTTAAGGTTGTACCTCCTCATTTAATTTGCTCCCTTACATGTGGAGGCCGTGAGTGCCGCTATGAGGGTCCTGAATACTGGTCTGTGGAGCAACTAGCAATTCCAGGGCTGTACTCTTCCTGGTAAGACACTGTAGACTTTATGAGTGCTTTGGGCCTGTTATAGAGTAAACTTGCCTTTCTGCAGTAACACTTAGGGGCGAATTTCTAAAAATATTTTAGAGCTATTTTTCCTATGAAACTGCATGTACATTTGTTCTATGTAAATGGGGCAAAATTTAATGTTATTAGGCTGTTTTCTTCTCTATGAATGTTATTCATTAATAAAGATTAGAGGGAATCAGGAAAATATCACATTATGGCTACTAGCTGGAGCATTAATTTAATTATTTATTTCCTGTTATCCTTAGCGCCATCTACAGAGGTTGACATTTTTTATCAAGTAAATAAAGTTTTTTGTATTCTCAATTTCAGTCAGCAGGTGGAGCGCTTAGCTTCTTTTAACATGTTTTTTTAGGCTATCCCTACTTGCTTTGCTGAAAACAGCTGAAGCTCCTATTTGCACACATAAGTGGATAAATCAGAGCAGAGACGTATCTCCCCCCACCTTGCTTGAGTGCTAATATGGCTCTGTAGAAAGTATAAATTAGAAAGAGCCTGAATGTTAGCAAAATCATATTACTCAGTGAATCCAATGTCATGGGTATGCCGTCTTTATACCTTCTTTATATTGTTTAAATTAACAGTAAAGTAAATCAGATATAAAACATCTATGTAAATACTTTTTACAAAAACTGTTAAAATACAAATGGATTATGGAGTCTCTTTAATGTTCTTTCACTCCGAAAAGAACCATGCTACTTGATAGAGGTGCCTAAACATTCGTTTGTATACTCCTTTTAAAGAGCTGATCAATTGTAATACTAACTAGTATAGTGATATTTGTATGTGTTTGCCTATACCTTTTTTATTTGTGGTTTTAGGATCACTGATGATATTCTGGCTATGAGCCGCCCATCCACTCGTCTAATACAGGAATACAAAATCACTGAGCAATTCCACAGGTAAGGGGCAGTCCTGAAATAAGGTAAGGCTATAACTTAATAGATTAGGAACATTTTGGAAATCTTATCTGAGAATTGTAATGCAGTGTTTTAGGGATGTCTATGATTGACAGCTGGCTCTGCTCACACCTAGTCTGTGTATTCATGGTTGCATTCCTTATCCCCAAGGCCAATGCGCCTGTGGCTACCAGTCTTTTCCTTCTCATGATATACCATGGCAGGGTATCTGTACTGCTGCAGACCCTTTACTGAAATAGCAGCTTGTAAGCCGATCACTGTCACTATAGACTGGGTCAGATGACATTGGGCAGTGTAACCCTTCCAATTTACACTACGACGCAACACTTTTTTGTCTATTAAGACACCCTAAATCATGTAAAAATCGAACATGACTCTTTTTTTAAGAGCAACATACCACAATACACAGTATGTGAGAGAGAGAGAGAGAGAGAGAGAGAGAGAGAGAAAGAGAGAGAGAGAGAACGAGAGAACTACTAATTTCATAAGAAACAGTTGTGTATTTGTACTGTCCATACACTACAGAAGAGAGAGGCTAATATGGTAAAAAGAGTTGTGCTCTGTAATTTGACAGATATGGAATACGTTCAGTTGTCAATGCACAGATTCCCTGGGAACATGGCTATTGTGGAGACTCCCTTGATCCTCAGAGTGGCTTTTCATACAAACCCCAGGATTTTATGGATTCTGGCAGTAAGTGTTTTTCTGTATGTATGTTATGTTAGATGTAACTTCATGTTGTGTTGTTTACAGTGGCGGACCTAAGGGGCAGATGTGGAGGAAGGAGCAGGGGGGCAGATGTGGAGGACGGAGCAGGGAAGATGTGGAGGACGGAGCAGGGAAGATGTGGAGGAAGGAGCAAGGGGAAGATGTGGAGGAAGGAGCAGGGTTGATGTGCTTGGGGTGTGATGGGGTGCTTAGGGTGTGATGGGGTGTTGTAGAACACAGAATAGAACATAGTTGTACTTGAAACTTTCATGTTCAGTTAAGTTCTATTCCATATTCCAACATGGCAAGTAACCTCACCTCAACTGTCTGATAACGTCCTCCTGGCTGGTGCCAGTTCACACAGTGGGAGGAAGCACGGGGAGGAAAGAGATGATAAGAAAAACATACTCACTGAGCAGTCATATGCGCCGCGGATTTCCCGCTACAATATCAGGTGGCAGCTGCTCGCTGGATCCTCACGCCCGAGGCTCCAGGGTGGCCATATTAGCTGCCTATCTTGTGTTCGCCGCCCGGCCCGCTTGTGACTGCCCAGCGGCCAGCACCCCCTTACCACCACCTCTGCACCCAGGGCAGCCACACTGTCGCCCCCCCCCACAGCACAGGGGCAGCGGCACCGGCTGCACCACCGGTAGTTCAGCCCCTGGTTATTTACTATAATTCAGAGCATACATAGTGTTTACTGTGTGAGCATATAATAGAGTGGCAAGATCCTCCCTTCAGTCACTTTACTGGAGTGCTCAGCCACTGACATGAGAAGTGTCTGTAGTCAAAGTAAATTAAGCCTTTACTGACATCAGCTTTTACAATGTAGGGCTGCTGCAGGTCATCTAAAATATTAACAGTTTTAGTACTTTTGAACTCAGAACCAGTGCACCAAGAAATCAGTTTTATTAAAGCTGACAGGTAATTTTTCACTTTGCTCCATCCTTACCCATCGCCTTCCTAATATCCTCCTAATTGTCAATTGCAAAAGGCTGCTAAAAAGCATGAATAATAGTGTTATACATAGTTACATAGTATTTGAGGTTGAATAAAGACATTAGTCCATCAAGTCCAACCTATTAGGATCTCATTCTAGGAGTACCCGTACCCCTGTATATTACGGTCCCTTAAGAAATCGTCCAAAAGTTTCTTGAACAATTCCACATTATTTGCTGAAATCACCGCCTGTGGCAGTGAGTTCCAGACCCTAACTGATCTTACTGTGAAGAACCCCTTTCGCCCCTTGTGCTGGAATTTTTTTTCCACCAATTTTAGGTGATGGCCTCTAGTTTTTGTAACGGAGTTAATTTTAAACAGTTTATCGCTAATGTTGCTACCACCATTAAACATTTTGTACATGGAAATCATATCCCCCCTTAATCTCCTCCCCTCTAATGTGAACATGTTTAAATTTAGTAGCCTCGTCTTGTCAACTTTAACATTACAAAACAAGTCCAGTTGAATGTAACTAACTGGTACTAGTCAGCCTAAATAATAAGCAGCCTTGATTATGGGAAACGATATAAGACAGTATATGTTCCTCTTTTAGAATTCCCAACAAATGAGTTTTGCTGTTCTGCTATGGTATGGTGATGGGAGCAAGACTTATGAATTTCTAAAGACTGTAATAGTATATGTAGACTATAGGTTTCCTAAGTACACTTGGTTTTTCCATCAATATACTTCCAGGCAATTACGTCGTTCCTCCTGAGTACATTTTAGATATACTTAGCAAGTGCTTTTATTATTGCCATGCCAAGCTTTTGAGTTTGTTTCCATTTTATTCTTTCCAGTCTGCTTCTACAACTTTGGTCTTCCAGATTTTGGAATAGCCCCTGTGCCCAGAATTCTGGATGCAGTGAAAGTCATTGCATTTGCTCTGAGAGAGGGGAGAGTTGCTGTGCACTGTCATGCAGGACTCGGACGCACAGGTAACAGTGACACGCTGTACCTTTTTCTGCACAGTATGATCATTAAACACAATACTTACACTGAATGTACAATGAACATTGGCCTGCTACCTTTTCAGGGTCAGAATCCATTAGGAGGATTACCTGAGGCCTGCTTATTTTGTAATATATAATGGTTTGACAGAGTCTGCTGGCACGTTTCCATAGTTTACAAATGGCCATTACGCCTAAAATGTATTTATATTTTTTATATTTAAACAAAGAGCAACTGCTCAGAAATTATTTATTTATAAAGCAAGGGGAGGAATGTCTTTTTGCTACCAAAAGTAATCAATTAGGCATCGGCTTGCATTTTCTTCTCCTTCTGCAATAGAAAATGGAATTTGACTGTTTGACTTTTGCTGAACTTTTTATAGAAAGTAAATTGTTAGCTGGCTGTTCCTGACCATACTGCAGCTTTGTCACTATCACTCACTACTGTTAATGGTTCACTGTTGGTTATTGTGACAGCTAATTTTCTGCTTTTTTCCCCAGGTGTCCTCATTGCTTGCTACTTGATTTACGCATGTCATGTAAGTGCTGCAGATTCCATTCGTTTTGTGCGACTCCGTCGCCCAGGATCTATACAGACAGGATCTCAGGTGTCTCTGGTGTGTGATTTTGCACTGTTCCTAAGTTCACAATGGCCAGTCTTTCCACAGGCCCCCCTTGGCCACCCTTCCTTTACTCTAGCGCAGTACCTGGTTCAGCAACGTAACCTTCTCCATGGTCAGGAAGCTCGAAACCTGCGCTATCTTCCCAAGCCAGTGGTAGTTATATGTCGAAGACTGGCACAATTGGCAGGGGGTAGGAGAGCAAGAGGTCCATGGGTGGAGTTGGAGAGAGAGGCTGCACACCGGCTCCTACGGCAGGTCATTGTCAGAGCAGCAAATGACCGCCGTTGTAAGAAGATGACCAAACCAGCTTGTGAGACTGAAGATAATGAACAGGAGAGAACAGTAAAGAAGAGAAGAGGCCTCCTACAGAGTCAGATTAGTTGTGACACTGGAATACTACAACTGCTACTCATGGGGGACACATCAGTAAGTGATTATGGCAGAGGTATGTCACTGTGCAACTCCTTAAAATAACTAATACAGAAGGCCTTTATCTGTGAATATATATTTATATACTGTATATAATTCCAGTGTCATAATTTATGTGTAGCGGCTTTGTGCATTATTTATCTATATTTTCAAAATATGTTATATATTGTTTGTATTTTCCTTAGGTAGATGTAGCAAGCAATGGGCTTAGTCAACTTGAACTTGCCAAAACAGCAACAGCAATGACAGACAATAATGTCCCTGAAGATATGCAGAAGGGAACAGACAGCAATAAGCCAGATGTGAGTCCCTTTGCAAAGAAAAGAATGAATAGATTATTTGAAGCATACTGTTGTTTACAGCTGTATTTACTATAAGGCACTTGTGGGCCAGAGCCTAGGTTAGCAGAGCAAAGCAGTGCTAAAGGACATTTACAGTCTGAGATTACTTTTCTTTATGTTCATCTTGTTTGGCCAACGTTGCACAACTGTGGGTAAAGGGAAGAGAAGTGGGATGGAGAGTCTATTACGCAAAATCACAAGAACTATAACTCTAATAGTCATGCTCTATTTTTCTTCATGCTCTACATCTGTACAGTTTAGCTCTTCACTTAACTCGAACAGTATACTTCTTCCAGTACCACAATCTGGTTTTAGTTTTTACAAATTATATAGCGTAGCTACAACCTCCTATCCTGTACAGCCAAGGAAGATGCCATCTTAGACTCTATATAGATTGCAGTTGCCATGGTTCTGCACATGTGATCGGCTATGACACCAGCCATTTGAGGGCTTGAAAGTGCAGTTGAGAGCTGAAATAGACACGTTGGCAACCTTGACAGTTGACATGACTTTAAAGTAACTGATTCGTGAAACATTACATTGATGGGCTAAGTTCCTTTTTAAGGACTGACTTGAAGAATAAACACTGGACCCTACATGTAAGGTAACCCATAGCCCAGTGGGGTCTGTTTAAAGGCTGAACTGATCACATACTGTAAGTGGCCCTCAGTATGTATGATGCCCTTGATGTGTTTCCTTTTTAGCTTTAGAAAGCTTGTATATCCACATGAAGTAGATATACAACAGCTTCATACCTTTTTCTACTCTGCAGTGAAAACCCAATGCATTGTTTAGTCTGCTGAATGGGAAACACAGTTCCCTTTGAGTCTGGTCACAATATACAATCACTGTTATCACTGTGTTTCTATACCATTGGCTGCAAGCATGCAGTGTGCTATATTACTGAAATTATATTAATATGTGTAAAATGTCAAATACAGAGACACAACTACAAACTACAGGACCATACCACAAATGGTAGTTGATACCTCCTCATGTCTGATATGACAGTCTTAAGGTGCCAATTTTCAATAACATTGTGCACACCATCACCTATTTCAGCTGACCTATTGGCCCACCGGAGAATAGATAATAGAATGGCATGATGCTTGTGCCAGTCAAAGTGTGATCGTTGTCAACAAAAAAAAATCCAAATTCAACTCTTTCTGATCCATCAAGATTTATTACAAATTTTCTAATTCTCCATGACTTCATCTATTGCTGCTCTTCATTCCTGCTGGAGATGACCAGCAGCATGCTTCCTAGTTGTTGGAATCATAGACATTTATGGGGGTAATCAACTACCCTTCCTGCTTCACCAATTCCCACTGTAATTGGTAAGTTGGAGTTACCTTTAGAGTGGCTTGGTCATGGAAAATACTGTATATGGGAGATACCATTTCTGGGCTGCCTAGAACATGTTAGTTGGGAGGTGTGTGATATAGTCTGTTGTTTGCACATGGCCAGTCACCCTTCTAGCTGGGTTTTGTAAGAAATATTTCCGCCCACCTGATGGTCATGGACTTTACACATATCTCCTAAATACACTGATAGAAATTTTTCTAGAAATGGATGCGTGATCATGCTTAGGTGCTATTAGGCATGTGTGTACAATACAGGTGAAACTCGAATAATTAGAATATCGTGCAAAAGTAATTGCAGTAAGTGCTGCAAAAGGGGCCCAAACCAAGTACTGAGTACATATGCATGCTTGTACTTTTCAGAGGTCCGATATTGTTCTATGTACAATCCTTGTTTTATTGATTGCATGTAATAATCTACTTTTTTGAGGTTGTGGATTTGGGGTTCTTGGGGTTTTCATGAGCTGTAGGCCATAATCATCACAATTATGACAAATCACGGCTTGAATTATCTTGCTTTGCATGTAATGAGTCTATCTCATATATTAGTTTCACCTTTTAAGTTGCATTAGTGAAATAAATGAACTTTGCACGATATTCTAATTATTCGAGTTTCACCTGTATATTGATTTACTGTTATGCCATGTCTTTGTGACTGATGTTCCTGACTGTTTGCAGAAAGACAATATTACTGAGCCATGTCAGCCGGTTACTCCACACCATGTTTTGTGCATTGCAGAGGCCCTGGCAGGACTGCAAGCCAATGAACCGGTGATACAGCAAAGTGTGCAGCAATTGCAGGTATGGCAACTTACTGTATTTAGTTATTAGTTATCCAAAAGACTAGAACATGTTTTAGCCCTCCTACAGTTACCCAAGCCCTAAACGAATCCTAACTTCTGGGTAGTAACAAAAATTTAATCTTGAAAAAACAAGAACAGTTAGGAACATCACTTTATTTCAGTGTTTAACCCATGCATAACTGCTATGTTGATCTTTGGCTAATATAGAGAGGATGTGGGTAACAGTAGGATACACATGCTGTTGTGTAATTATTAGAGGTGCACCGAAATAGAAATTTAAAAACCGAAACAAAACCGAAATAAAAAAAAATTGTCAGGCCGAAACCGAAAATGTTTTTATTTAGATTTTTTCACATTTTTAAATATTTTATTTTTATTTATTTTTTATAAACTTTTAATTTTTTTAATATTTATTTTTATTCATTTATTCATTTTTTATTAAATATTTGTATGTTTTACTTTACTTTTAGGAGCTCCGGGGAAATATTAGGGGTCTAAACAGACCCCTGATATTTCCCTTGTAAAATAGAAAAAGAGATTGAGAATCTCTTTTTCTGTATCCCCTGTTATAAATGAACAGGAATCCTCTGAGTGTTCCTGTTCATTGATAACTTGAGGACAGAGTATGTTTACTATAACTACAACTATGAATGAACAGGAGGGGATATAAATCACTTCCCATTCATTCATAATTGAGGCTATAGTCCACATACAATATCTTCAATTATCTACAAACACTCAGCACTGTGATAGGCGACCAAGCGGTGTGGTAGAAGAGACACCGGCCGCTCACAGCACTCTCCTCACGCAGTGCTCGGCCAGCTGTCACTTTGTCTCCTCCCCGCTGGAAGGCGAGAACCTGGGATGTGCCGATGTATCGGCAGGAAAATGGCACTTTCGGCATTTAGCCAAAAGTGCAATTTTCGGCCGATATATATCGGTGCATCGCTAGTAATTATAGTACCGTCAACACCCTGGTATTGTTAAATTCAAAACGCCAATGTAATCACATCTAGTGCTGTAACCACATCTAGCTCCAATTATATTCTGGAATAACAAACAACATTTTAAATCTAATGTTTTTTCCACTGTGTTTTGCTCCCTGTGCTGTGAAAGCTGCTATAACATGCCCAGGCCACTGTAAACTTTGTACCATCTACACTCAGCTTGTCTGCAGTCTGCACCATAACTACAGACAATAGGCGTGCACAAGGAAGTCACATGCTCCACTCCACATATCTGTTTGATTCAATGTTTTCACTTTCATAAGTCATAAAAATGTATATGCTACAGTGCACTTGTGTAATCACTGGAAATCACAAACTGCTACAAGCAGCAGTCCATGTACGAGTTTTAGCTACAGTGTAGAGAACATGTCTTCAGATCAAGGACTCTCTCTAGACAAGTTGGGTGTCTGAAATAACATGTAAAGGGCAGATGGGCAGGGCTTAGCTGTACATGTACAGGGGTTGCCTGCTTCTTCAGGGCTTACATGTTTGTAATCTCCAGTGATTGCATGAGTGCATGGTAGCACGGAAATCATTCTTTATGGCTCCCAGCACTCAAAACATTGAATCAAACAGGTACAAGGTTCATATATTTTCCATGACTTCACTGTGTCTTCACTTGCTGCATATTTGTTTCATGTCAGTGAGTGAGAAGTATTGAAGCTATTTGATCGGCATGACAGCCAGGGTCCTGGTATTTTCAGAGGCAGGTTAGCAGCGGCAGCCTACTAATTACTGTTATGACATGCTTCCATTAACTGCATGTCTTCTGACATATATACATAAATTACTAATGTATTAAATGTATTTCCTGTTTCATTACCTTCTGCAGAATATTGTAAATGAGGAGGGAGCATGGGCGGCGGTGTCCACAGAGAGCAATCCCAAAGTTCTTTGTACTTTGCTCTGGGATTGGTTGCAGCAACTTTCAGTAAGTCATCATTTATAAACTAAGTTAAGCTATGCATATATGAGGTCAGCAGGCAGACATGCCCTAAATATTCCAACACTATTGCATAAATATTTCACTTTATGAAGAGAAAAAAACTTCACACCATACTTTAGGGCCCTTGTGCCCTTGTGCCCAACCTGCACCCTGGAGGCCACATGTAGACCTTTAGATCTTGGTGTGTGGCCCTACTGACCCCCTTTAGATGGTAGTATGTGTTTGGAATGTCCATTCTTTTTGCCATTTCATGCTATGTTCCCTCTAATTTTTTATAATGGAATTTGCTAAGAGAAATGTCAAAAGTGCCACATGTCATTTTTAAGAGTGCTGTAGGCAGTACACATGTGGAAGTATTGGTTTAGAAAGGGGCTACCATACCAGTGACCTCTAGCGGTCTAGACACTAAGGGTGTGTTTAGTCTATGGCTGAAGCATGTCCCCAGTCTCCAACACCTACTATAACTGCCCCCAATCTCTGACCATCTTCTGTAGCATGCACATAGTCTCTGACCTTCTCCTGTAGCATGCCTGTAGTCACTGACTATCTGCTGTTCCATTTCTACAGTCTCTGACTGCTATCTATAGCATTACAGTCACTGAATATTATGTGCAGCTCTTTGGTGATGTCAGGGGCTGCACTTGAGGCCCCCTATATCAAGTAAGTTGACAATCACTGCTTCATCACATTCAAGAAGTATGTACTGCAGGTAAAAAAACGAAAAGAAAAAAAAACAACCTGCAAGTAGTAATTCCTAATGAAACAACTAGAAGCCTATCTGCATGGGCACCTCTATTTTATTATAAAATGTTTAGTATTTTATCTTATGTTTATTGATGGCTATGAAAATGATCTCACTCAAGACTGACATAGCCGTCCACAAAATGCTCCGGACTGCACAAACCCACACATTTGCTTTTGTAAATTCCAGCTACATCATGCTGAAGAGTGATGTTGAATGAGCTAATTTATTTTTATTGGTTCTTTTGTAAATTATATTACCTATAATAGACAAATGATTCCCTTAAGCAACAAAGAAATCCCAGAAATGGAGCCGTCTAATAAGTAAATAACAATTAGATATATCACAATTAATTTTAATGATTATAGATAAATAAAAAAATTAAATCACATAGCACAAACATTTAAAGGAGAACTATGAGGTGAGTGCTTTTCACTCACCTCATAGTTCTAGTTCGGCTCAGTAGATCGGGAGGTGAGCGAACACATACCGGCGTTCGCTCACCTCTCGATCCTGTCACGGCTCTCTGCCGTGACAGGGGAGGGGCTGGATTCCCCCCTCCCCGCTCCGATCTGCCAGCGCTGACTGGCGGAACGGACGGGGGAGGGGGCGGGTACAGCTGGCTCTGCCTCTAGATAGGCAGAGCCAGCTGTCAGTCACGCAGCTGGGCGGATCCCGGCATAATTGTCGGGATCCGCTTCAGCTGCGGCGTCTCAGTATACCGCGAGCTGTAGGCTAGGGTGACGGGAGGACGCTAGTTTGTGTCCTCCCGTTACCCTAAGGAGAACTATGGGGAAAAGCCTTACCCCATAGTTCTCCTTTAAAACGTTAAAATGACTGAGGCTTCCCTATAACAGCTCAATAAATGAATGTGAGTGGTGATGGTAATATGATTACCCTCGACGGGTGGCGAGCAGTCACTGATATGAGTGACTGATACTGCTCGTCACCCGTCGAGGATAATCATATTATCATCACCACTCACATTCATTTATTGAGCTGTTATAGGGAAGCCTCAGTCATTTGAAGGTTTTAAATGTTTGTGCTATGTGATTTAATTTTTGTATTTTTCTATAATCATTCAAATTCATTGTGATATATCTAATTGTTATTTACTTATTAGACAGCTCCATTTCTGGGATTTCTTTGCTGCTTAAGGGAATCATTTGTCTATTATGTTTTGAAACCCAGGAGCTGAGTCTATTTATCCTTTGACTTATTGTGCCACTCCTTTGCCTTGTGTGTAGTATATTACCTATAACTATATAAAGGGAGTCAATTACTCCAAAACAGTAGTTTTGTAAAACAAAAACAACAAATATTTTAAAATGTTCTCATTGTTTTCTTCATAGCTGAAGATTGAACTGGAAGGGTACATTGTATGAACACTGAATTACAAAAAGGCTTGTGTAGCATTTATGTTATGGCCAGTTATTGAACTTGGTATTATGTGCAATTTAATCAGCAGAAAAATAGAGAAGCTTGATGTTTCAGGAAATGAGGACCCGCCACATACAGTAAATGTTATATATGATCTGAGACCACTCCTATTGTGATCATTTTCTCTGCTACCACATTTCTTGTGTTTTTCACTATGCACTACTGTTACATTTCCTTTTTTTCAGGAACCTGCACTAAGGCAGGAAGATATAAATCTCTTCTGTGATGGGGACTGGAGAAATAATCTGACAAAACTAAGCAGGGTGAGACCATAGTCATTTGTTAGGAGAGGCGATGTTTACATTAAATATGTATTTGAAATAACCTGATCATCATTCTGTGTAGCAGGCTCACCGGTATGTCTCAAGTACTTGAACATATGTCAAACTATATCGTGTTTATCTTATTAGTTTAGTTTCACCTGCAGTGATAGTGAAAATGACATATGACCCTGCGTTTGTAGGCATTTCTTTTGACATGGTAGCCAATATTTTCAAGTAAATTCCAAGGACACCTTGCCACTCAAGCAATGTATCAGCAATTACTCATAACACACTTCTTTATTAAGCAATTTCCCAGAACATTCCTTCCTCATTGTGTACGTGGAGCTATTTGTGTGTTCACTTTTAAGTGACACATTGATATTATTGCCAGCATCAATAACATTATTTAGAGCAAATGTTCAGTCTTTTAAATGTTTTTTTTTTTAACAGATAGTGACGGGAATGTATCAAAACTGGAGCAGGCACAATCTGGAGCAGCTGTGCAGGACAACCAATCAGCTTCTCTCTTTCATTTTCAAAGCTTAACTGAACAAAATGAAGAGAGAAGCTCATTGGTTGCCATAGGCAATGGCTCTAGATTCTGTCTGCTCCAGTTTTGATCAATTTCTCTGACTGTTTGTAACCATAAGGAAGATAAACTTGATGTAAACATACCAAAGCCCTGTTTCAATGTACAACTTGTAACAATAACTTGTAAAAAGGGACAGCACAGGGACTGGGGGCTAACAGTTTGTATCCCAGTCAGGACCCTACTACAGTAAATGCATGGACTCCAGTGGTAGCTACATGGCATTTCTCAGGGCAGTGAGCCATGCCTGTGCAATGTGTGTTGGAATGGCCACTGTGTGGGCGTTAGTGTTGCCACCTGTCCAGGATTCACCCAGACAGTCCAGGTTTTTAATACTCTGTCCGGGTTTCATGGCAGCAGAAACCCGGACACAAGATGTCAGGCAGACAGGGGCAACCAAAATTAAGATAGGGGCTACTAACACCCCACTGAAAATAGTCTCAACTGTGATATTTACATATGAATGGGTGGCGCTATTTACATATGAATAAGCCGCGACTCATTCTCCCAAAAAAATGTCTGCGTGTCGCTAGAGTGTTTGGGTTTCACTTGAAGAAAAGGTGGCAACCCTAGTGGGCGTAGAAATATTTTTTTGTAGCATTGGGCATCCATCTATGTAGATAATTAATAATAACATAGACATGTCTGGTGTAAAATGCTGTGACTTTGAAATACTTACACTTGCAGAGCATTCACTTCCTGCTTCGAAAGGGCAAAATTACTTCAGTTTACCAAAGCAATGCGCACTGGGATTGCCTTGTCATCAGCAGAGCATTGCTGGGAAATCTCATCTGTAATCCCACAAGATCTCAGGGAAAGGCATTTTCCTCCCCTGAGATGATGTGCCTGGTCACATGTCTAGTGACATGTGCCAGTAATCCAGGAAGTAATAGGAGAGCGAGTTATCTGCCCTTAGTAAACATGGCCACTGTCAGAAGAATGGGGAAGAAAAAAGTTATGCAAAAAATGCAAAGCTAGCAACTGTCTAGAAGTATGTGTTTGTAGATTATCATTACTAAACATTTCTAAAGGTGTGTTTGTTTAAACATATGGGTAAAGGTTCGCTTTAATACCTGTTGCCAACACAAGGAAATGCATGTTACATGTGTTTTGATGCACTGCTATTGTCTTCTATGGACCTCCCAACACACTAAAATGCAGAATGTTTTTTTTTTTCAAAATTCACTGCTCACCTCTAAAAGAGGTAGTGCCTGAACGAGGACCTTCATACTGGGATCACTAAGTATTATTTTAATAAAAGCTGCAGATTTAACAAGATTAAATATTCGTTTTGAAATTACTTGAACATGTTAAAGCCTATATGAGATTTTAGTACTTATATTTTCACACAGTTTAATAGAGAGACAGAGTAATTGCACAAAGACTGATAGCTCCCTCCAGTGGCTAATCAACTAACATATACAGTATTTAAATATATCTAAAGCAAAAAAGAGTGGAGGAGGGTAAAACTGTTGTCCTTTTTTTGCCATCTGTGTCTCATTGGGAAGATATGCCTTCACTTCATGTCCTGCAGACTTAACAGAAAATGAGAGGATATATTTTGATTGTAAGGAAAAACCCCTCTTCTTGTCATGTTGTCATGATTTCCCCTCTATTCCTGTTCTGGTGGAAACTTAACATTTTGAATTTTTCTTCACTTTCATTCCCAGTGAAATTGGTGATCAGGACAATTAGAGAGAGTAAATAAATCTCCCTAACCATACCACAGATAGCAATAAAAACCTGTCAGGGGTTCTAACCCACCCCCACTCTATTCAAATCTAAAAAAAGATTTCCTTTTAGTTATACTTAAAAGTGCACCTGTTCCCAGACTACAAATATTCAACTGTTAACACATTGTTAACAAGTAATAAATCAGCTTCAAAACAAGCCATCCCTGACCTTTCTAGCTGCTTGTAATGTGTAGTCCTTCTTTTTCAAAGATCCTCAAGGATCACAACAAAATACTCTGAAGTCCAGTTTTGGTGGGTTTTACCAGCTTAGAATCACCTGCTGGTTGTTCACATTATATGGCTGGCAGGCTGCCAAGATCTGCTATTGTAGAAAAAAAAAGCTAAGATTTCAGTGCCTTTTTTGAACTTTGAAAATGAATTCTCCAATAGCCTATAGCTACAGGGGTGAATGAGGACTTTTACTGTTTGTTAGGAATACGTAAATACTTTAGTTTGAATAGTCTGACACAGGTTCACTTTAATACAATAACATATAGAGATATAAAAGAATAATCTTGTTAAAATGTAAAAGTCATAGAAAAATGAAACACTGCAATAATACCTCATAATAAGCACTCACTGAAAATACACCATTCTTTCCCCTTTAATGATCTCAACATGAAATATGATATATACAGATACTCCCTCCACCACAGTTAGTAGTCAAGACTAAAATTGCTTTCTGTCCTTGACTTAAATCCAGTTTAAATGTATTCGGTTGTATAACTGCAGTAGAAAGAGTATCTGAGAAGTGGGATTGCGCAATTTTCTCACGAAACCCATAAACTGTGATATCAAAAAGCAAAACTGTATTAGTCTTTATTCTTTTCCTTCCTTTCCATCTGACCACCTTGCCTTGACATTCCCCACCTTTACCATCTATCCTGTCCTATATATCCACATGCCAACCATATAGGCACTTCACATGGCACCACCACACAATCCTTCACCTCCCCCTTCCCTCCGGAAACTTACACCCGCTTTTTGTGTCTCTTCCCAACCAACAGCTCCTCTATTCTATAAGTGTTATTTCTGCTACCTCTCTCCTGGGCCACCTGTACACTACACTGTGCTATGACAGGCAGCTCCAGCCCTCAAACCTACCCATTCTGTAACAGACACACTTTTGCTGGTCAATATAATAGCTGAAATAAAACCATTGTCTTGTTTGTGTATTGCAGAGTCAGGGGGAGGTTTTATGTTGTCTTCTGCAGTGTGTTAGCAAACTTCCTTCCCTGCCATGTACCCTGGAAGAGATGGTATTAATGAGACTGATCAGAGCATTGACAAAGGTAGGTTGAGAAACCCCTGAATGCTGCAAGAGTTTTTGCAAACAAGATACCTTGCCAGCTACATCTATTTATTAAAGGGAAAATTAGAAGAACTATACCTATGGATGTTTGTTTAGTGTTTCCCTTTTCCAATTGTTGAAGAAACCCGTCAGCTTTTCAGCTCCAACAAAAAAAAAAGTTTTATTTCTTTTTCAATAGGATAATATAAAATATTCAGATTTCTCAAAGATACCATTTGCAGCTAACAGTCAATGCTGGGTTTTCTTATCAGAAAGCCCAGTATTCTCTCTAAAATTCGTATTATGGAAGGACCCTATAATACAGGGGCGCCCACAATTTTTCATCTGGAGATCTACTTTTCAAATGACGAGCTCATTGAGATCTACCTACTAAAAAACACCTGCATTCAGGGGCAGGACGGGGCGTGGTGGTGCATTGAAGTCAATGGCACGGCAGCCAGGCTCCGCAGGCAAGCCCCTCGCCCACAGTGCGATCGCCTGCATTAGTGCCTGTGTTCCAGTCCAGTGCGATCCGCAGAAATGCTGCGAGCACTATTTTTGCAGATCGCACTGGACCGGAATGCAGGCACTAATGTGCCTGCGTTCTTGGTGCGGGCGATCACACTGTGGGCGATGCAATTGACTTCAATACAGCCCCACACCCCCTCCTGCACATGAACGCAGGGAGTCGGCCGGCTTACATTCCAGTTGCTCGTGTGGCCGATGTTGCACATGGAAAGAGGTGTCCTGCTCCTTTCCATCTGCAGCGTCTGACATATTAAGCCGGCAGCCGCACGAGCACCACGGGAGCATAGCCGTAGCCAGCTCCATTTGCGCCTGAGGCAAGAAAAAAAAACTTTTTCAAATTTATTTTTTACTATTTTTTATTTTACTTTGTTGGCCAGATTTTTAATCTAAGCCAGTCTTTCCTGTATCTTACTCATGAATTCAACATTGTATTTATTTCCTTTTACAGCAGCCGCCTGATATGCCACATTTGCCACCGGCACTGTTCCTACAGCTTCGCTCAATTGTGCAAGAGATAAGAGCTCATGGAGTCTTGTACCGGGGACACCGCAAACCAACAGATACAGCACAACATGGGCAGCTAAATACAGACAAGAGTGAGGGAAAGAGCAGTTAATAGAGACCAGTGTAGTGCTTGTGCACAAATCACAAGAAATGTTTGATATCTGATATTTAACAACCAGCATATGTACCGTATGTACTATATGTTTACATTTTCTGGGTTAACAGGTGCATGGAATACAAACCATATATGGCCTCATTTATCAAAGCATTAGCTGTAAGAATTGCCTGTATTTCCCCACCAATTCTTATCTCCCTACACTGGCTACCAATTAAATGGATAATACCCATCAAAATTGATCTACTCACTTATAAAACCCTAAATATTTGGGTTCCGCCTATCTGACAGAATTTCTGGTTACACACACTCCTACACTCTCCTTCAGCTCTTTCTAGAAAGGATTAGGATCTCACCAACAACATGGAACTCACTGCCATCCATTGCCCAAGAAACCCTCTCTAAACATTTTAAAAGCAAGACTCAAAACACATCTATTCACCCGGCCTATAGTAACACCTGACAAATCTTGCTCTTCAAAGATCCCAAAAGAAATTTGATAAACCCTTCTCTTTCCACAGAGAAAAGCACTATAGTAATATTATTATTATTTTTGGGGAGGGATGTTTAAGGTAGGGATGCACCGATATCGGTTTTTCGGTATCGAGTACCAATATTTTTTTCCTGTGCTCGCCGATATCGAATACTGATACCGGAAGTCCCATTGAGGAAGCCAGGCGGCGTGTAATGACTCACCACCCGACTTCCTGATTAGCCGGGAAGCATCGGGAGCTCGTACTCGCCAAATGCTCAGTATTAGTACAGATACTAGTATCGGTATCAGTGCATCCCTAGTTTAGGGTATATTAATAAACTCTGACCATTGAAAGCAGGCAATGTAAAATTACATATCTACTGGCAGGATCAACAGACATGACAATGATGTTACAGGGAAATTCAGAAAACAAAAACTGCTGTGTCAACACTAGTGGCAGACTGTATAATTGATATCATTTAAACTTTCACATTACAGTTGATATTTTTCAGGGCAGATATGAATCTAAATGAAACTTGTGACCTTTTCCAGTAATGACACTTTGATTGGCCAATAGGATAGTTTGGGACGGCACAAAGGGCTAATGTATCAAAGTGTCATTGCTGTTGTAACTTTACCACAGTCTCTGCTCAGATTTTCAGATTTGAACTGCCATTTTCCACGGCAGGTTTGAAACTGATTGTTAGTTGTAGGGAAATAACAGACATTTCAGAAGTAGGAAATGTGTGCTAAGAAATATCTTAAAATCCAGTGTACCCATCGCACTCCTGACTGAATAATACCCTTGGAGTCGGGTGGGTGCCAAAGTGACTGCAGATGCCTCTGCAATCCAAGATAAGTGTATGTATAAAGTCACTCGCACTCCAATAGAATTTTAAGTCAAAAACGGTTTATTGACTCGATTGCTATCACATCATATAGCGACATTTCAGAACAACAGTGGTTCCTGAAGAAAAAAACGTTGGTTTTGTTGTATTTTCATGTACAGGAATATGCATGGAGTCTCCCAGTGCTTACAGAGTACTTGCACTGCCACGTGGTTTTATATCTGAAGTGGGTATGTTGGTGCCCTCTGTCTTCCACAAATCCTGTATTTCTGTGCTACGTATGGTACTGCTGCCAGTAGAGCTCTTTGGATTCTGATATATTAGAGCTGAATGAGGGATAGTATATCTATATCTCGGGCTTAATCTACCAATAAAAAGCAAACTGTAGGATGTGTGTCCTCCTTTTGCTTATGGGTTGGATTGACTCCTTTGTATAACTACATAGAGACATCAAATGGAAGGGGTTTTTTCTCTTTATTTATTACAGGTATTTATTTTCCCTGACAGCTCACTTATTTTCCACAAACATAGATAATGGATGACACCCATACCACCAGTGTATAACTGTACAACCAAGTATTCAAAGGTCTTTCAGAAATGTAGTTTGCTGTTAGAGTTTTTATGTGTCATTTCATGTGTTTTTATGTGCATTCAGCAAGCTTCATTTTCATAACCATTTCACTGCTGCCTTATATTATTTTGTGACGTCTCCATACAGTAAATGATCCCTAAAGACCGTAAATACAGACAGATTTTCGAGATCTGGGGACCTAGTCAACACATCAAACGTGTTGTGTTCCTCAAACCATTCTTACACCATTTTTGTAGTGTGGCAGGGCACATTATACTGCTGAAAGAGGTCACTGCCATCAGGGAATACTGTTTCCATGAAGGTGTGCACTTAGTAAGCAGCAATGTTTAGTTAGGCAGTATGTGTCAAAGTAACATCCACATGAATGGCAGGACCCAAGGTTTCCCAGCAGAACACTGCTGAAAGCATTACACAGTCTCCGCCTCACTTCACCTGTCAGTGGTTCATGTTATAGCTGATCAGTGTGTGAGTGATTGTTATAGGCACATTAGGGTCAGGAGTAGAAGTCCATTGATAGCAAAAGAAACGCAAACCTCCTATGTAATTATTTGTTTATTTTCGTTCAACTTTATTTAACAAAATATATATTACAAAGTATCAATGCAGGCACCTTTGTAGTATATAAAATACATAGTATATGCTGCCACCCCCCTCTATGACAGAACACATACAGCAGTCTTCCTTTCATATATTTGTGTTTGACATGTTCTTAGAAGAATGATAAAATATTACTGTTTCTGATTTTATGATGGATGTACTACTTTCTTATGGCTGTATTTCCATTAGACTAAATTATATGATCAATTTTTTTCTGTAAACAAACAATAAAGCTGGAAATTACAATAAAAAACCTTTCTTATACAATATATAAAAATATTTATTCTATAGTATTTTCTATAATATTTATTCTATAATAAATTAAAACTATTTGATTTAAGTGCTTTATAGTTAGCTTTTTAGACTTAACTTATTGGGGATAGAATGGGGAAGGGTTAGAACCTCTGCTGCTTTTTACTGCAATCTGTGTCCGCACTGCAGACATTTCACCCTTACATTCTGTCTTTTTGGCACCCGTCACTGTGTCTGGAAGTGAGAGAACATTTCCCCAACACAAACAGCAGTAAAAAAATAAAAACCCTTCTCCCGCTCTCCTGAAAAGGTGTATATTGCTGACTGTGTTCCTGCTGGAGAGCCTTTCCCTCACTTCCTGTCCTTTTGGCTCCAGTTTCCAAAACAGGAAGTAAGTGGAAATTTACCCAAAGTGGACATAGAAATAAAAAAAACAAAGCTTCTTACACTTCCCTACTCTGTCCAAAACAAATTTTGGTTGGCGTTTCAGTTTAATATATTTTGTTATTATTTACATTTTAAAAAAAACGTCATTTTTCTATATTAAAAAAAACAATTTCAAAGGGAATTAGCCATGAAAGGTTTTGATAGAAGCAGCCATTTGTGACTTGTGCCAATTTGTTTGAGGCTGCAAAGGTAACCCATTTACCCAGTCACTCCACTTTGTATTTAGTCATTGAGTCAAGGAATGGCTGCTTTCTAACGTGAGAGAGTCGATTTGAGACAGACTTCTTTAAAGAATAAGTACCCTTTCAGACAAAGTGCACTTATACTTTTTGCCCCCTTCCCTGACCTCAGAGATTCCACCCTCCCCCTCCACAGATGTACAATTACTGAGATCTGGTACCCAAGGCCTCCCATGTTTGTTGACATCCCACACCGAAATCCTCTCTCTGCCTGCACAATACAACCTTATAGAAGTCTATGGGGCTTGTCCCCCTCCATCTTCCGGCTGGTAGATGAGCCCCGGGTGCCGGATCTTGGTAAGTACGCATCTGTGAAGGGCGATAGGAGACCCTGTTGGAAGTAGACTTCCTTGTGCTAAGTGATTGCTCATATGTGCACTTTTATTACCATTCCCATACAATCTTCATTGCATTAATGTAGCACATGTTCCTTTTATTATTGTCCCCTTTTTGAATTCAGTTTTACGGCATCTTTAGCCTGGCCAGGAGAATGCCATTCAAAATGATTCTGAAATGATATCTTATGATGGAGGCTAAGTAGGCCAATATGTGAGAAAGGTTATTCTTACTTTGGAAATTGAGTAAATCAGTTGTTGTGAAGTTCTTCTATTCATTATTAAATATTGAATTTAATTTTTAATATAAACAATTAAATATATTTTTTATGAAGGTATTATTACTAATTTTCTCCTACTTCTCATAACTATATATTGGCTACATTAATGCACATCTTTCTACACACTGACAGAGCATATTAAGCAATTACATTGCCAAGATTTAAAGGAAACCAGTGTATTAGGCTGCCTTTTCTGATCCACATTTGGAAATGCTACTGACCTGGCTGTCTCTGACATCAACACCGTGACCTCTAAGTAGAGCTACCCACCAGCAGAAACCAAGTCAGCGGTGCCGAGGCATTTGTCACCACACCGCTCACTGGAGAGAATCCCAATTTCCCTTCTGTTGGTAAGTTCATCAGTAGTTTTAATTTGCTGCAATTGAAAACAAGACTGAATGTTCAGGATGGGTCAGTTTTAAATATGGAAATCGAAGCGAAAATTGGTAATTGTTGCCAATTGAAAGCAATTTATTTTCCTTAGTAAAGAACCAATTATGCTGAGTACTACCAATCCCAAATTGCTGGAGTGCCAAACATTGGCTGTGATTGTATACAGTACTTTAGTTTTTGAAGCACATACATTATTTGACAGTTTTAAAGTACATATTAGTACAACAATATTTTAACACCTATTAGGTTTTCCCTTATTGTTACCAGTTACAAATACTATTTTAATAATCTCTACCGGTCAATCAGGTCTGGACAGATGAGCTTTGAAAGGATACACTTGGCTCAGTTAAATGCTTCCTCTCTATGCATTGTGGTGTCATGCTCTTCTTTCTTGTCATCATAAATAATGATATCCTTGATTAAAGATGGTGGTGTAAAAGCAGGCTGGTCTGTGATGCAGAGGGCATTCTGGAGGGCCTCTCTCTGTGTGTCATGGAGAAGAGGCTTCTCATAATGAATCCTGATCCAGGGAGACCCTGGAAGAAAAAAATAGGTTTTTCTTCAACAGCTAATTTTCTGTCTGAAAAGAACATATTTTGTTACATTTCAAGGCAAAAGACATTTGCCATTGCAAACACTAAAATCACAGTGTTCAACTCCAGACATTATTCATTTTGGGTTAAATACAGATCACCATTGGACCATTGGTAGTCTGGTGCAGTCTACCAGACACAGAAAAGGAGGAGATATCTGCATATTAGTTGGGAGTATTCTGATTTTGGTCATCACAATACTGTCTATAAATTCCTTTTACCTTTCTTCACATGCTGCCCCACTCTCACCAAGAGCTCTGCTCCAATTCTGTGGTTAATTACATCTGTTGCTTTTTTCCTGCCAGCTCCAAGTGCATTTAGGATTTCAGCAATGGGTCTGGCCCGGATCAGCTCCACTGTGCCTAGAAACAACCAGACAAAAAAAGACACATAAATAGGTAGGTGTGATGTGAGCTACATTTATTATTAGGAGGAGTGTGTATTCTGTCTGGCGTTCTCATAACTGATGCATTTCTCACAAAGAGATTCTGTAGAAGGAACCAAGGCCACATGTAATAGAAGTGCTCTGTATGAGTTTCTGATCATATTTTAATTTACTGCAGTAAGCTGGTTTTCTAAATAATTAACCCACATCCTGTGGTGAACCTTTCTATAGTTTACATATAGACAAATAGATACAAAAGAAGGTGAGTAACCAGGATTATTTTAAATGATACCCTATATGAAATTGTGAATCTTTCACAGCAAAGAAACAAATCTTGATGCGCAAACATATAAACTAAATGTGAATTTATATAAAATTTACAAGGTGGTAACTGGTACCAGATCAGTCATTCAAAGTAAATGCAGGCATACATTAAATGACCAGACAGAAAGGCTGCATTGTTTTTGGTTCACATACTTTCTGCATGACTTCATACTCCTTGATGTTTTCACACAAAATAAAAAGTAATGGTGAGGCCCCATCAGCTACGTGCAATTTAACATGATTCACTCACAGCCGTTAATACAGCTTAGTATCAAGTCAGTGCACAAATACATCCCTTGTATGAAACCCAGTTGTAAAAGGCACCATTGCCACACTGACACACACTTATTTTCTGCAAGTTTTCAAGTAGGAACCCTTTACAGCTAACTAGGAAGCATCATTCGTATGTTACATGCCATCAAACAATACTGAACTTATACTGTATATGTATATATACAATTTATTCTTGGTGCATCAAGTCTAACATATTTTATGTACATGATACATGTTAGTTCCATTCAAACATATTAATTAACCCATGTACCAGTCCAGATTTTAAATACAATTTAATAAAATAGTTGTAATGACGACTGACTTATTGATAGGATACTCGTAATGGCCAGCTGTTAATATAGGCAGCAGTTATGGGGACTTCACAAATATTGCAATGAAAAAAGTAATGACAAAGTGGTAACTTTTATTGATTAACAATATTTGTTAGTTCATATACATATTAATATTAAACATCTATTACCTATTACATATATCAGACCTATGTAATGGCAGACTGCCATTGTAAGTGAGACAAATAGGCTGACCTGTTGTCTGGACTACCAACTCTTCTATGTGAGATGCTTTTCCCAAATTGCTGTTGGAGTTAAGACTTCTTGCTATGTCAGGCTGCACCCCTTGAGCTTCCATCATCTTTTGGAAACACTGTAAGGCAGATCCATCATCTAACACCTTGGCAATTTTCTCTGCACCTTGTGATTCTGATACAGCCTGACCACAAAGACAGAGGAGATATCCACCTGCGTGCAGAGATAAAAGAACATTTCTCATTTTGATAAAAAGAGGCAGTTCTATGAAGTTTAACCTTTTACACAGTCTTCCAGTGTTAGTTTACTGGTAAGCAATGCAAATTCCTAAGTTAAACACTTATATAACAAAGCTTTGTATATGTTTTAGCTTTAGTCTAATGTTTGGATAGATATGTACATGGTGTGTTGTGCTATAAGTCCTGCAGCAGGCAATATACACTGTACATATCCTGCAATCCACATATTATTTCTGACCTGTGCGAGTGACAAGTTCCCTGAGATCTTCTGGCCCTTCTCCTTCCAGACATTTCAGTGCTTCAATAACTTCCAAACTGTTTCCAATGCAATTACCAATAGGATTATCCATATTAGTTATTAGAGCAATTGTAGGGATTCCCAGAGAGACTCCTACAGTCACCTGAAAAAGACACTCATGTAGATTTATACATTATACAATTCATAGATGACAATAACTACGCTGGTATAAACAGCACAATGCATATAAAGATTGAGTCCATGAGGTAAGGAAGAGAACCAGGAAGTTTCAATACAGCTGTCCAGCTCCATTAGCACATTTTGCACCACAAAACTTAATCATAAGGATAAACATAAACAACACAGCTGGGATTTTTGTAAGGAACACTTACAAGACTATGTGCCAGTCTTCTTGCATCTTCTATGGTTGGACTTTGAGCTGCTTCACCAAACTTGACATCAAGGATCAGTGCAGAAAGGCTTTCAGCTACCTTTTTGCTCATCACTGAAGCTATGGAGAGATCAGCACCACGGACAGTGTTACGAGTATACTGACTCCTAGTACGTACATATGATCAGTTGATCACAGCCACAAAACCAAAAAAGAAAACAGTTTTAAAGAGTATCTATGACCAAAGCTAAAAATGTATGTATTTCTATACTATATTTCTATAGGTTCTATCCCACTCCATCAATAACCATATTGATCTTTAAGCTTGTAAATGTATTTATGGAAGATGCCAATAGGATGTACATCCTCAAGGCACTGACAGAATTTCACTCAATGCTGAACATCCTTGTGTCACAACTCTTCCTAAAAAAAAGACAATACTAGGACTGGGTGATTTCTACTTAATAGATTACATGGCTCTCAGTATTTCTTTTATGCCAGGGAGGCAGAAAGCACATACAATTAAAGCCTAGGCAGTGCCTTGATTACAAAACATTGAGGGGAAATATAACACACCAACAATATAACACATTTCCTATTTATACCTATGAATTTATCCTGCAGCTCAACCACATGTGAATAGCATGCAGAAGCCCGCCTGTTATAAACACTAAAGACTATTAAAGGAGAACTATGAGATGAGTGATTTACACTCACCTCATAGTTCTAGCCGACCTGTGACAATGAGACTGTCACAGGTCGGCTCAGTAGATCGGGAAGTGGGCGAACATATACCGGAGTTCGCTCACCTCTCGATCCTGTCACGGCTCTCTGCCGTGACAGGGGGGGGGCTGGATTCCCCCCTCCCCGCTCCGATTCGCCAGCGCTGACTGGCGGAACGGACGGTGGAGGGGACGGGTACAGCTGGCTCTGCCTCTAGATAGGCAGAGCCAGCTGTCACTCATGCAGCTGGGCGGATCGCGACATCGATGTCGGGATCCGCTCCGGCTGCGGTGTCTCAGTATACCGCAAGCTGTAGCTCGCGGTATACTGAGCTTAGGCTAACGGGACACATTACAGTATTGTTTTATGTTAAAAAAATCTGAGGGTTTAATGTCACTTTAAGGAACTCTCTGAAGAAGCTACAGCAGTGTAAAATCTGTTACATTTCTGTCTGGGAGTGGCAAAAGGTCAGAACCACAACATCAGATGTCTTCTTCTGGATGGTGGGAGCTCACTGCATTTCAGTCAGTATCGCCAGACATTTTTCAGTGCTTGCATCATAAAATAGGGAAATATGCAAGTATTCAAGAGCTGTGCTGTATATTATTTAGATTTTGTCTATACATACAGTATACACAGTATACTATAATCATAAAAGAAGGTAGAAGGTAAATATTTTGCAAAAGGTCTCTTCCTTTTTTACCCAGAGGTTGCTGTTTTTAGCAAAGTTGAGCCTATAGGTCTGCTTCCTCATATTTTCATAGTGCACTATTGTAATAAACTTCATCAGTAGAGAAAAAGTTATACATTTCACACTTGGTGAACGTTGTCGCTACCTGTGATCAGAGGCAGACTGTCCACTGTCGCTGTAACATCCCGCATCTCATAGAGTATCTTATCAGCTGGGACAAGATTTGCAGACTGGCCAACAATACAACAGCCAACAGAGCGAAGGATTTCTAACATCTGCAAATATAATAGACAGATTTACTGATAGGTATATTAAACAAAACTACATTAAAGTGACATTAAAGTCAAACATTGTTTTCCTTCCCCCCAATGTTAGTGTTAGCACTTACCTTAAATGAGGTTTCTTAATCCGATCTTCCTCTTCTTTCCTGATGTTTTCATCTGTCGCTCCAGCGGTGCGGCCGCTCTCCGATCCAGCACTGACTGCTCTCTGCTTACAGGCACTTCCGACCCAGCGGTGTCTGCATACGGGTGCACGCGTCCATAGACTTACCTTTCGTCTCTGCTCGTCTCCCGGCCGAAAATCCGAACTGCGCATGCTCCCGCCGCAAGATGCTTTGCGGCTGTCCGAGCAGTTTCGGATTCTCGGGCGGGAGCGCGCACAGAAAACAGGGTAAGTTTAAACCGCTGTTAAAGCGGGGTTTTAAAAAACTTTGTGCCTATATCTACTGCTTGCTAGTAGTAAAAAAACAGAGGGTTTAGAAACCCTTTAAGGTGCTCAGCTTTGCTTCAAAAAAAGTTTTGCGTTAAAAACAACACTTATGCATATCTCTTTTGCATTGTATTTGCATACCTGCTCAGGGCTCTGATTGCTGCTAAACCCTAGAACTGATTCTAATTTATCCAACGTTCCACCAGTATGTCCCAGTCCTCGTCCACTGATCATTGGAACCTTACATAAATAGAATACATAAAAAGAATAGAACATGAAATGAACAAGTAGAAAACAGGTGTAGAGGCACAATTGGAAAATCATTTGACTTGATACATAAACTCTATTCCTATCAAGGCTAGATGGCCAGACTGCACAATGTCATGCATTTCCATGGTGTAGGCAGCATGGCCATATGGATGACTTTGTGCTACTGTACCAGTGGTTAATGACAAATGTTAGGCAGATATTTTGTAACTGCCATCATATTTAAGAACATTGTTATTTTTTCAACACAGTTCTCACACATTTTTCGAATTAGCTCCATTCATAATTCAGTAACGTTTTTTTGGCATAGCAACAGCAACTTATGCACAAGCTCTTTTTCCTTATTTTTTGGCCTCTGGGCACCTGCACTTTGCACTTTCTACCTGCAGCAGGTTGTTCCCCTTCCACTGTAAAATCTCTATAAGGTATTTCCTGTGACAAAGAAGACATGCCCGATGCATGAAAACTTGGACAGCATGGCATTTGTTCAAAGACACAGATACTTACGCTGCTCTTACCCAGTGGTTGAGAGCGCAGCTGCTTTAATATCAAGGCTACCCATAAGCGCGGATCCACATTTTTTACTTACCCAGTGATAACATGCCTCCTTTCTCTCTATATCTCAACTCTGCCCTCACCCCTTCTGATTTGCCCTTCCCTCTCTCTGTCTTCCTCCTTAGCACTCTGCGATTCAACGCAGTATTCTTCAGCAATGCGAGGCACGGACGGGAGCCACTCTGTTTCTCTTCCTCTACTGTCTATGCTTCTCTGACCTTCTCCCCCCCCCACCTTTATTTCTTCCTCCTTCCCCTTTCTCCCTCCCTACTTCCTCCTCCTCTCCTTTAGCTCTTCCCGTGCCCTGATCTTCATTCCTCTTCTTCTCTCTCGTGCCCCCCCCCCCCCCCTAGGTTGGGCCTTACTATTCTTATGCTAAGTTAAGCATTTATTTCTGCCTCCAGCACGCGGTCATTGGCCGGTTCCCTTCCTAGCCCTAGTCTCTCCAGTACTTGAAAACGTCATTACAACTTTTTAGCAACACCTTGGCTCGAATATTCCGCACGTCCCACTCCTATCTCCCATGGTGGCATATTGGGACATGACAAGTTTGCTGTCGGAGCACTTGGCCCCCCTTTTTTTTTGCATACTTGTTAACTGTATGTTTGACACTTTTAAATACAATAAAAAGAAATTTACTTGTGAAAAAAAATCTCTATAAGGGTTCACTTATAAAAGTATCTGGCGGATGCCGTTTGCACAGTTCTAGCACCCATAGATGGAGCTGATAATTATAGGAAATTCATATACTCATCACCGTCATCTAGGGGTGCTACTATGGGTACTTTTATAAATGAACCCCCATGTGACTCTGTCTCCAAAAACACAAACGTTTTAAAAAGACCGCCTGCAAAAAAAGAGTAATAAAACCGTACCAGTCGAGCTGATCGGTATTAGAAATGACCTGAGGCTTGTTGCCAACCCAGTTTACCTTAGTTCACCCAAACCCACTCAAAACTATGGTTGAACCCCTAACCCCCACCCCCAAACCCAATCAGTGGTTGTAGTAGTATTCCCCATCCCTTTGTGATGTGTAGCTGCGGGACGGGGAACTAATTCCACTAACTGGGCCGAGGGTGATGTGTCCATCACAGTTTTGAGTGAGCTCAGGCAAACTCAGATGAACAGGGTTCACACCAAACCTTAGCTCATTAGTAATGGTGATCTTCACTTTCTTGCAGAGATAAACAAGTCATTTGAATCTTCTGGGTGTGTCATGTGACTGCGTCTTTCTCTGTATGCTACAAGAGAACGGTGGCAGGACCAGTAAGTATTATTTGTCCTCTCTTGCAGGTTGGCTTTATGTCTTTCCTATTCCTTTTTTTTTTCAACATCGTCATTTTCAAAGAGATGCAAAATGATCTTTATTCAACTGTGAGAGGCTTTCATTTCTAGACTGATAAAAATTCATGCTTGTATTTTTTATAGGCATTTTAGACTTTGCAAACATTAACAGAAGTTGGTGCCTTATCAGTTTTCATCATTTCACAATGTATTTAAACAGAAGAACGTGTCGATTTGAGCAGGTCAAGTTATAAAATGAACTTTAAACCAAGTTTGCTTTTCCTTTTTGTTATGTAATACAGTAGCTATCAGTCACTTTCAAAAATCAGACAAATATGTACATATATATCATCATCTGTATGTTTGGAAGGCAGGAAATGCGCTGTGGAAGTCTCCTAGGCTCCTCAATTGTCAAATCAAAATCTGAACAATGTTTTCGGCTTCTTACCAGATTCTTCTGCAGATATACTGAAACTTTTTTGTATTTTTGCCAGTTCCGAATGTTATGAAATTGAAGCTAATTTTTAAGAATAATGATACAATGTAATATATCTGGTTTATTTGCTGTTTATTTTATATTTGATCATATAACATGATGATGTAGCTATATTAACAGTTGGAATTAAAATATCTATGCAGGATAAATTGTGTTTCTCTGTATGGCACTACCTTGCATCCACAGGCAGCAAGTGCTGGTGCCAGAGGCAGGCTCACTTTGTCTCCAACCCCTCCTGTAGAATGTTTGTCCACCAACAGCCCATGCCACTCCTCTGGCCATGTCAAGACACATCCTGAAGCTACCATTTCCTTGGTCAGGGTCATGGTCTCTTCTGGGTTCATTCCGCACAGCCGGATTGCCATAAGAAGTGCACCTAATGGTAAACATATGCAATCTACTGTATACTGCATGTGAAATTATTAAAGTCATTACACTATTAGTACAAAGCTTCATCATTTACAGAGCTATGTCTGATTATATTCATGTTATTGTGTCTACATCCTCCATTCCTCCAGTCTCCTCAGTGATCCTAATGTATGCAGCAGGTCTGGTCATACTGAATAATGGCTAACTTGCATGTATGCAACCAAAATTAAAATGGAGAGAGACAATAATCCCTATAGCTGGGCCTAGCACAAGCATGCTGATTACAAAGGATACTTGAGTGGGAGGGCATGTAAATGCTGGGCAGGTCAGGCAATAAGGAAATTCATTAGTATTGAACTGAGGTTTATCATACTGTTTAGGAAGTTGATAAAAGGGAAGTGGGTGGGCAAAGTACACTATCCATTAAAGACAAATGTAAAACTCAGCCTCAATCAAAACTGATAATACAGCTTGGAGTGATTGTTGGCACATTAAATCACTTTTGGCATCCTATATCTCTAGGGGAATCCAGTGGTAAAATATTCCCACAATAATGACTGTTTTTACCCCACTACTGCAGCAAAAGGCAGGACATTTGATAATGTCTCCAATGTAGAAGAAGCAAATAACTGGGGAGTGACACCTTTTTTATTGTATGGTTGTAGGGAGAGAAACAACCAACTACAGTACAGAAATTCCACCAATGGAATCTCAAAGAAATTAAAGAAGCTAACAAATAATTCAGCCCAAATCAGAGATAGGTCAAGGACCTCTAGAGGCTGCCAAGAGTGCATATCCACTAAGAATGAATGGGACCGTGGCAGGCATGCCCAGGACAAATACGCCTTTAAAAAAGAAAAGCTGTGTGGATACAGACAGGGCCGCAGAGTGAAGATCTCTGTTTCCGCAAGCGGACTACACTCATTTGGGTGGAAGGATGCCTTAAAGGATAACTTGGATCAAATGTACATTTGCCAACATTACACAAATGAAAGCAGAACTCCAGACAAATCAAATCTTAACCCTTGCAGTGGGGCTACCCCCACACTGCAAGGGTTAAGTGCTTGTTTTGTCTAGGGAGCTAAAATAACAAAGTTATACTCACCCGTACCATGATCCCAGCTGGCTCCTACACTGCTCCTTTCAGCCTGTCTCCTCCTCTGCTTCAGGCGATGTTATGTTCGTTTGGGTCCTCATGTTCTATACACTGTATAGAACGTGATGACTCACAGGACCGTAGACTGCTGAAGCGAAGGAGGAAAGAGGCTGAAGGGATCGGTCTAAGAGCAAGCCGAGATTGTGGTTTGGGTGAGCATAACTTGATTTGATTTGCCCGCAGTTCTGCTTTAAGCATTGGTGTATTCTGACCATCTATGTATGTTTGTGGGTAGAGCAGCAACTCTTTCAAATCCCCGTTTAACTTTTCCTTAACTTTACCAATATACATGTGCACTCCAACTTTAAAGCTGAACTCCGGGCAAATAGCTAAATACACAGCTAAAACACATATACAGTTCCCTGCGGAGGAAGGGACATGACTGATGCAGGTCAGACCTGAACAAGAAGGAGTTAGGTGAGTATTGGATGGAAGGGTGTTTTTTCTGTTGGGTTTGAAAAGGGGGAGGGAGGGGCCAGCTAGCATAGTGATAGGTGGGTTTAGCTTGGGGGGTGGAGTTAGGGGGCCATCTTACTGTACAGTGTGAGGTAGGGAACCATTTTAGGTGGGAGAGAAAAGTATTTCAGCTTGTTGTTTTTATGTTTACTAAAGGTAGGTTTCCCGCAAGTGTGGAATTTGGGGAGGAGGGATACAATTTTTCTAGTTAGGGTTATGGGTATTCCTTTTCTGCATTTATGGTGGAATTTGTGTTTGGGAAAAATGTCTGACTTCATTTTCTTCTAGGTTGGTCGTCCATTGTGCGGGTCGCTGGCGGTGCCATACATCGACGATGAAGAACTGGCTCTCCGCAAAGTGAAAAGGGGCGGAGTAGTAGGGAAGTGCCAATGGTGGGGCTACTGGGCTCTATAGCTTGGTAGCCAGTAAGAACTTGGGCAACTGTTGGTGGGCGTACCCACTCGGGCCAGAATATGGGCGGCTGGTGGCTGGTACAGTAAACAATGGGTCATGGTACACCCCCCGTAAGCGGTGAGTGGCGTTTTTTGGCACTCGTCAGGGACCGAATTATTTTGTTCTTGATACATAATATGTTCTGCGATTATTTTAAATGTTTACATCGCTGTGGCCATTTAACCTTCCAATAAATGTTATTACATTACGTGTTTTGAAATTACTGTGTTCAGTGTGGTGTTTAGGTGGGAGGTGAGGGTTACTTGGCCTTGCAGTCAGTCATGTATATGAACAAAGGATTAGTAATTGTGTTTAGCCAATCTTGTTATTCAGACACCTCTGCTAGATCAGAGCCAGCTAGATGCCCTCACTTTTCTGTACCACAATTACACTGTGTTATGATAATGCTCCCCATTTATTGTCTGTGCATATGTGACATAGCTGCAGACAGAGAATGGGACAGAGCTGCTGTCAATCATTGGGGATGGAATGGGTGAGCTTGGAAAGTGTATGTCAGTGAATAACAATGGCGATAACACTGCTCCTGCATAGGGAGGCATTCAGGCAGTGTTGTCACTCTAGTACAGGAAGTTATAACACAGGCTGGAACTGGAAGGATCACAGGGTGAAATAAGGTAAAATATTATAGGGTCCACATGAAAAAATAGGAACAATGGAAAATGTGTAGGGTAGATCAGTATTTTATTTTCACTATAAGGTTTAATATTTTCTAAGTAGTACATAACATTCCCATCGCGGAGGGAAAAATATCAACGTAATTGCTTCTCGGGCAGCATTAACCCTGCATGCCCTAGCCCATGTAACTCCCGCAATATTCTCACCTGTCCAACCCCAAGGGCAGTTGCGCCTCAGACTCTGTTTTTCTGTTTTGCACACATAACAAGATAGAACTGTGCTTTTATATCTGCTTAACTTTTGTTTATAAATGGCTTTGGTTCTAGGGTACCTGTTGTTCATTCCTGAACTCCTCAATGTCTGGGATTAGCTGTAAAAGGTAGAGATTACTCATTGTTTATTTTGATTACCCAGTTGACTGTCCTGAACCTGGCCTCTCATCGTCTCTTTCACCACATGTCTGATCTCCTGTGATGATAGCGGTAATCCATTACGCTTCTTAGCAATTATATCAGAAATCCGAAAATGGAAAGTATCTTGAAGAGATAACAGGAAAATAATACACCAAGGACAGTCACGAGTATTTCAATTGCAGGAACAATAAGACACA